TTAAGGGATATGCCACATGAAAACAAAATAACATTTGCCATTAATTTGCAGTTAAGCAATTTATTCTGTAATAATTCAGTCAATTTGACATGTCAAAATAATGATACTGACAAATTACATATAATTGACATTAATACCATAATTAAAAAATATCTAACAAAAGATAGGTATTTCCTATCAAAATTTAATTTAAGACTGATAGCAAATGCGCTATCTTATTTTTTACATTTTAATTTAGCCAAGCGTTTGGCTACACCATCATCTGCTCCTATTGAGCAGCTAAATAGTTTAATATGTACTTTGGAAAATTTCCAAATAATTTAAATTAAGTATTGAGACAAAAGAGGAAATCTCTTGCAATGACATTTATGTAATGAATTATAAAAAACAATATTCTATTTCACAGAAAATGTTATGTAATAAAAATTGTTTAAACCTGGTGCATCAAAATATTCAAGGTTTTCACGGTAAAGATTTAGAAATTGACTTGTTTTTAAATAGCAAAATGTTTAAGACCATTGAACTTAAGAAAACGGCAGATCTATGGGGAATGTCTGTTGAAGTGACTGCCTCAATAATAGATTCAATCGCACCTTATTTGTCAATAATTTTTAACAGTAGTGTAGATTCTGGCGTATTCCCTGATCTCATGAAACACAGTAAAGTCATACCTGTATTTAAATCCGGTAGTACTTCGGACCCCACTAATTTTAGACCCATTTCTATACTACCAACACTTAGTAAAATTTTCGAAAAACTTCTTCTAGATCAGCTGTTAACACATTTTAACTTAAATAAATTATTACATCACAACCAGTTTGGTTTTACAAGGGGTCGTTCTACAACCGATGCTGGTGTAGAACTGATCAAACATATATTTGAGGCTTGGGAGAGTTCACAGGATGCTCTGGGTGTCTTTTGTGATCTTTCCAAGGCTTTCGATTGCGTGAATCATGAAACACTGATCAGGAAATTGCGCCATTATGGCATTAAAAGTACCGTGCTTAACCTCATTAAGTCATATCTATCTAATAGAATTCAAAAAGTTGTAATTAATGGTGCTAGTTCTTCTGGGTCGACGGTATCTATGGGCGTTCCGCAGGGCTCGGTTCTCGGCCCATTTCTCTTTCTCATTTACATTAATGATCTTCCTTACTTTGTAAGGAGTAAACACGATATAGTGTTATTTTCCGATGATACATCATTAATTTTTAAAATAGATCGACGGCTTGTTACACTTGCCGAGGTAAATGATGCTATGTCAGAAATAGTCTATTGGTTTAATACTAACAATTTACTATTAAATGGTAATAAAACTAAATGTATGAAATTGTCAACACCTAATGTTAAGCATTTGGGTGCTACCAATGTACTTATAAATGCGGGGGGAGTTAGGCCTTGTGGATACGACTGTTTTTCTTGGAATAACTCTCGATGCAAAGCTTCAATGGGGTCCCCATATATCCAAACTTGCGAATAGACTAAGTTCTGCAGCGTATGCTATAAGGAAAATAAGATGTCTAACTGATGTAAAAACGGCTAGAATTGTGTATTTTAGTTACTTCCATAGCATAATGTCATATGGTATTTTGCTATGGGGGCACGCGGCCGATATAGAAACAATTTTTATTTTGCAAAAAAGGACCATAAGAGCTATTTATAATCTAGATTTAAATGCATCTTTGAGAGAAAAGTTTAAAGAAATAAATATATTAACCTTAGCCTCTCAATATATATATGAAAATGTTATGTATGTGCGTAAAAATATTAATAATTTTGATAAGAATACTGATATACATAATGTGAACACTAGGAACAAACACAAGCTTGTAATGCCAGTTACTAGACTCCATAGAGTAAGTAACTCGTTCATGGGGCGGTGTATACGCTTTTACAACAAAATCCCAGTAAATGCGCAAAACCTGCCTATTAACAGGTTTAAGAAATTTATTAAAGAAAAACTTTATAAAAAGGGTTATTATAATACAAATGAATACATTAATGACAATAACCCCTGGGAATGAGTTGATCGCTCCCAAGCTATTTCTAAAAGGAAAAAATCATTTGTATAATATATGAATTTTTGTTAAGAAAAAAAAATGAATTACAAAAAAGAGGATAACTACGGAGTTTCTTTCGCCTGTTTCTTCTCCGCTAGAGGAACCTCATTACGAAACGGTGATAGATTAAAAAAAATATGACTATTGATAAATGAAATGTAAGTTTCTTATGTCGATGAATAAATGATTTTGATTTTGATTTGATTTTTCTACAAATACCAACAATATACATGCCTTTATTTAGAGCCTTCATACAAAGGCACATAAAGAGAATTTACAGTGAAACGAGTGAACTAGCCTTCAGTTGCATAAGATGAAGAAGAAAACTATTGTGAAAGAGCAAGTGCAAAGTATTTCATTTCAAGATATGCTGAATTCTCCAAGTAAAGCTCCTTTCACACTCCTTTTAGATAACCTTTAACTATTATTATGTAGTATGTATTATACTATGCTATTCTTAAACGTAGCTAAGAAAATAGTAATCTTCGGAACTAAATAACGATTAAAGTACCACATTAATAAATTAATACAATTAAATATATACCATCAAAAAAGTTTTTATTAAGCATTTATTTGGAACGTCGTGAGAATAGCTTGTAAAATAGTCTGTATATTCATTACATTTCTTGCTTAGATAAAATTTATGGATTTAGTTTTTACTCCTCCTCTATTATGGTGGTCTAAGTTTTCCAACCACCCGCGTGAATGACACCATGACGTGAACCATCCTTGGGAACAAAGACCCAGATCCGGAACAACCATTTATGGGTCACACAAACACTTGTTCCTTGTGTGAATTGAGCTCACGACCCCGAAGCCGAGGGAAATTCTTCTGCTTCCTCTTTTAAATTAGTAGTTGCTCGAAATGTTAGTCACATATGATATGGGAAACCAAGTGCTTAGCTCCTAAAACGGTGGAGGACCACCCACGTGTTGGCAACGCACTGTATACTAATAAATCTGGCTCATTTCTAATTTCCTAAACTCACTCTCATGTTTGTACTAGGTATATACCGGCGAAACGTCGGGAATAAAAAAATCAAAAATTAAAACGCGAACGAAAACCGTAAACTAGTATCATTTAATATGAATAATATTCGCGTAAATTCAACAAATCAAGACGTCTGATTAACTTGCCTAAATATTACACCCCGTTCGGAAGAACTTTTTGTAAATTAACTTCGTAACTTTTATGACACACATTGATCTGATCGAGTCACGTCCACGACCAAGGTCACAATCCCAACGGTACACTTTATTTGTTATGAGTTGAATAGTTGATAGAAAGTAAAAACTAGATGTGAAAGGCAATTAAAATTTCTTAGAGTTATGCCATACAAGCTGGTAGAAGTTTTGCACTCTGCATATTTACCAATCTTAGTTAGTTTTCTTCGCAATAAATAGAACGTAAACCAATCTGAAAAGAAACAATGTTAAGAAAACCTCTACAGATATTGTTTCGTTCGAAATTGTATTGCGTCAGCGATTTTTATGCAGCGAAGCTATTCTTAATAACTTCGGGTATGTTTCTGTATTAATTATAGATTACGAACTAATCATTCTTCCATTACTTGATGAGATAAGTTGATGGTTATTTTAACTGACATTTTGCGAAATCAGTTTCTATATTAATAGCAAAGTTATTATTTTTACATAATGCAAAGATAATTCTTTGACGCATCGAATACAGTGATTATTTCGAGATGTTTTATCTATCATAACGATATCTCACTGTACGGGATGACAGGATTTCGTTTAATGGCAATAATTCATTAAATTAATTTCATGAAGATCTTGAAACTTTAGCCTGAGACTTACTTATTAAAAAATGAACATAATTTTATTTTATCGTTAAATCCATTATCTGGCCAAATTCTTGAATAAACTTTGATACAACATGATATCAAAGCACTATAGGACATAAGTTTAAATATGCCACATTATATTGAATGTACACATGAAACATGTTTATCGTGTAAAGTTTGAAAGACTATATGCAGTGCATATTGACAGTAATTTTAATTACAATTTAATCGCTCATAAATTTTAAAAATAAAGTAATAGAGAATATAATGAAATCACTATGAGTGATTAACAAAAATATCAAGGCCTCGTGTCTTTTAACGGTCCGGTCATACGCATTTATTCCACTAATACACTTTCCAGTCTTTAACCGCCGTACTTCAGATATTAAACACTACGGCAGGTAAGATATGAACTACTAACTGTTCTCTTTCAAAACTGGGGCAAAACTCGGACAAAACAAGTAGACGTTCTAAACATCAAGTCACTAATGCTTCGAATAATGTTTACCCAATCTCTCACTACGTAACGGGCTATGATCGAGGATGCAACACAGAGTTTTTTCAATAATGAAGTCTAAGAAATTCACCAATGTCCACTACAGACACACATAGACATTTTACTTTATTCTGACAAGCAACAAAACCACGAACATTCAATATAAATGACATAAACATAACAAATTGAAAAATAGAAACGAAACATCGTTTCAAAAAAAAGAACAAGTTAAGAAAGAAAAATTATTAATAAAGAATAAAAAAAAAAACATAGAAACCTTTGAGGGGAAAAAAATATAAAGTTTATATATAATAAGGAATGTATTGTGCTTTGTGTTTATATCAAAAGTGGTCTCCACTTTGCAAAAAATGCGGTGAGTTCCGCAATGCTGGTTTTCTGTGGAGCTATTTCGATGAAAGGAATGTGCCTACAGTCTACTGTTGTCCGTGCTAACTCGTCGACGCAACTGGATTCACTTTGGGACTTCAGATGCAGTACGCGGCTAGGCGACAATATGGTGATATTTTCCCTCGTTACTTGTACTACAAACGCCCCCACGAGTGGCACATACTTGCATCACGGCGCTAGAGTCCGCTCCCGCAAGACTCCCGCACAGTCGGCAAGTGGTTCTCGGACAAAATGCGGTGGTTCCTAGTGCTTTGTGCGCTGGTCGCGGCGGACGGTGCTAACGTGACGAGGCTCGCCGGTGAGGGACATAAGTTTGATTTTAGTTCTAGTTCCGTGTTTATTAGTTCTAATGGTTCTATTAGTTCTAGTTAACTGTAAACTATGGCTGTTGAAGCTTTGAGACGGTTTAACCAATAACCCAGTTTTCTTAGTACCGAAGGTTTTGTATACCGCCTTGTTCTTAACGGAGATGCATTAGTGTAAACACACCAAAACCGAAAACCAATTAAGCTACTCTAGTGAAAAATTTGAATTACAGATATGATATACTCACATTTGATATTTATATAGGATAGGATACGCCATCATCCATATCCATATTGGATACGCTTAATGTTTCTTGCAATTTTCTTTAAACTTGTAGTTGATTTGGAAAAACTATAATGTCGATGTTCCCAATTTTCCTCATATTTTGGTCTTTTAACGAGACAATTTCAGTCAGTACAACAAATTGCAACGATTGGTATTTATTTTTACCTATAGAAGAATAAAAGAAATGTTAGTAAAGTTTGCAGATTTTGTGAATAATTAGACCTTGGTCATGAGTTATTAGTGATATACTAGGCATTCTTCCCATGTTCGTCTATCCTCTTCTTTTGATCAAATCAATTACTAGCTAATACTAAATGTAGGAAACGCAAGTTGACCTTCATCCATTTTACACGCATCTGAGCTATCCCGGCATTGAGGAACTCACCGCATTTTGTGCAGAGTGGATACCACTTTTGATATAAACACAAAGCACAATACATTCCTTATTATATATATATACATTTTATGTTTATATGATCAAATTTATGAGATAATCGTCACGAGCAATAGCAATTAAATATATATTTATATAAATTAAAGTAAATTTATCGGTTCCTTGAGCTTTTGAAGAAGTTGGTGTAAGCTCATGGAATATTTGGAAATTTCAAATTACATCTGACTGCAAGTGATGATTTAAGGTGTTTAATTACATTAGAGCCGTCGGAGTAATTTTTACATTGCATTCAAAATTAACCATTCAATTTGGAATTGATCTTCAATTTGGTAAATGCAAGTGTCATGCCATTTTAAATACATCTATAAAAAATTATAGAGGTCTGCCTTTGTGTGTGCATCACGGAGAAATTATTGGACAGATATCTTATTCTTCAGATATCAATGATTTCTTATTTTCTGAATGAATTCTTATATGTCATACTTCTTAGATACTTGGCCCTTATAAAAAAATTGAATACCTTTATTTAATGTAAAATTATAAAAGTTTTATGGAACAACGATTTGTATAAGTGTTTAGTGATTTTTCTCCGCGGTGTTTTCTTACCGTGGAAAAGTGGGGCAAGCGGTGTAGTTGGTAACATAACGAGCAACGCAAGCGAAGTCGCGGGTATCAGCTAGTTCTATTTAATACAGTACACGGGTCTTTCGGATGTGCAATCTAAATAACGACAAAAGATATATTTCTTTACCGGTTAAATTTCTTTTGTCAATATTGTATTGTCTTAGCCATGGTTGGCCACTAAACTTGGTGGCTACACATGGCTTTAATGGTGTAACTACATTTAAAGGACGTAGAAATATTTAATTAGGTAATTAATATCTGAATTTTGAGTTATACATGTTAATTAAAGCAGTATGAATTAATTTGAAACGCATATTAAGTTAAAATTGAGATATCTAATATACACGTATTCTGTATTATTGTATTCATTTTATAATTGATTTTCAAGAGTTCCCTAAGCATCTCCGGAGCACAACATCCAATACCAATGAAATTAATAAGGGACCACATGGGAAGCATTGGCTTTTAAATAAAAAAAAACGAATCATCAAAATCGCTTCACTCCGTCGAAGGTTCTGGAGTAACAAACATAAAAAAATACAGCCGAATTGAGAACCACCTCCTTTTTCAAAGACGGTTGAAAATACATAAAAAGCGTTACGAACTGGCTGTCACCAGTTCCACGATGTTTCTTCACCCAAAAAGTGCTCAAAGCGCCTAAATAAGTTTTCAATTCAATAAACATCTAGCATGATAATTTCTATTTTTTTTTATGCGAAAAGTTGTCAAACGAGCAGACGGTTCACCTGATGTTAAGTGAATACCGCCCACATAGACATCTGCCACAACCGAGGGTTACAGAAGCGTTGACAACCTTTTGAAAATTGGGCTCCGGCTACCTCACTCATCAGACGAAACGCGAAAGTATTTGTATTCATAAAGTATTTCATCGTTACTTCATTCTTTCCTACAATAGAAACAAATACATTGAAATGTTTACTCTAAATTTTCTACATAGAAATTGCAAAGGTAGTTACAACTATTTAAAATTAGCAATTTCTTATATTCGCTTAACACAATGTTTTAATTAATGAACTGTTTGGTTAGTTTAACAATCTTATTAGTTAATAACAATCTACGCATATTTTAAATAATAATTACGTCTTTCGCGAAAAAGTCCGTTTAAAATAAAGTTTCAAATTAATAACTAACGAAGCTAATTATGTTTAAACCCTAAAAGCAATTTTTATTATTAATTAACTTTCTAGGACAATGTAATAAAGTTCTTTGAAGCGTTGCGCTCACTGTTCGATTGTATTATCCTGTATTGTAAAGACTATTTAAAATTTTTAATTAAAAAAAAGTATTTGTTTTAAACATAGACCAAATTCAGAACTATTGCCAGACCCGTGGACCACACAAATATTTGTCCCGTGTCGGAATCAAACCCACGACACGCGATGCCGAAGCCCGTATCTTAGGCATTTATTATTACAAAAGAATGGGCAGGCGTGACTGAGGTGACCATGACCTCACGAAAAGTCGACGTAAAACGGAAATATTATAACTATTACTACTTTTAACATTACTATAGTTACTATTTTATACTAATTGTTTTCATTAGACTAAATTTGAAATTCAGTTGTTGATCATTTTACTTACTAACAGTTTGTAATTAATTGTACATCTTTCATTACAATTTATCAAAAAGAGATAGAATGAGTCAAAGTCAACACACCATACACCTCATAAACGGTGCTTTATCGTTAATTCCATTTACGTTTAGTTGTATTAGAAATACTGCTGTTATTACACTCGTACATTTACTTAATACTAAGCGAGTTGGTACACTGGGCGACATTCTAAAACGATTCCTGTTTACGCCGGTAGGTTTCGAAACACCAGGTAGGGACTTGCAATATAACTTTACGTACCTGGGGTACCTACGGACATTATTACACTCGTTCAATACATATGGTAACTTACCTAATTACTAATAGCACCACCTAATATTTTGGACATAATTTACATATTATAATACTAGCTGCTGCCCGCGACTACGTCTGAGGAGAATAAGGTGAAGGCATAACATTCAGACGGAAAGACAGATATACATAAAAATATGTGTATAAATTATAGCCTATGTTTTATTCTAGCGTATAAGCTATATTATCGTAAAGTTTCATTAAAATCCATTAAGTAGTATTTGCGTGAAAGAGTAACAAACATCCATCCATACATACAAACTTTCGCCTTTATAATATTAGTGAGGATAAGTTAAAACCTGAACATGAGAGGTTTATGGTAGAAGGTGACAAACAAGCCGGCGGTTCACTTGATGTTAAGTGATAACCGTCGCTCATGGAAATTTGCAACACCTGTAGGGTTGCAGATGCATTGACAAATTTAAATTTACGCCGGTCTTCTGTGAGGTCGTGGTACTTACCCGAACGGACCTGCCCATTCGTGCAACAGCGAACACTGTTGCGTGGCCCTACCACCGTTAATATACGCATGCAATTAACTGATGCATAAAAGGTTTTAGGCCCTCTGTCCCAATTATTGTACTTGATGACCCGATTGGCGTGGTGAGTAGTGCACCCGCCTCTTGCGCGGTGTGGGTTCAATCCCCACTACTGGAAAAATATTGTGTGATGAACATAGTGTTTTTCCAGTGTCTGGGTGTTTATATATGTTTAGTATGTATTTATTTACAAAAGAAAAGTTTGTTTAAGTATGTCTGTCAGTTTTTTAGTATCCATAGTACAAGCGTTGCTTAGTTTGGGACTAGAGAACGTTGTGTAAAAATTTGCCCAAAAAATACTTTATGTTTAACCTTTAAAACCATATCGCATTGTATTTAATCGTTTGATTTACATTAGACAATTGATCTGCTTAAATGTTTTAATTTTGTTTCTTTAATCAAAAATAAATAGTTATTAAAATTAAAATACGCAGACACCAATACGAGTCGAAGTCGAAATAGCTGGCGATTCAACGTTTTCTTGTTATTTCGCAACATGTACGTTTCCTTAACGCGTGTGGTAACACCGATATGAAGGGTGTGCAGTGGAATGAAACGAGAATTGCATCAATAGAAAGTCATACACTTAGTAGACCTTACATTGGAGAGTCGTAATTGTTTGCTTGTCGAATTTAGTCATTATAGTAAATTCAATTCCTATCCAGATGTCAGTGCCAATAGAGTGTAATTAAAAATTTAAATTGTTTATAGTGCTAATCTTTGCACTTAAGATTGAACATTAAAATATGTAGAAAAAGTGCGAAAAGATTGTCGCCGCTGTGGGAATCGAACCCACGTCTTCGGCATTCGCGGCCTGACGCTCTAGCCACTGAGCTAAACGGCTGATTACCACACCGACGAAAATCTTAACGCATTCTTCCACATTGTTTTCTTAGCATTTGAAGCAATGCTTGGCGCCATCTATTGTTATATCCTTTCCAGCATACAAACAACTTCGAATATCGTTTTACAACGATAATTCGAACGAGAGATGTCGCCATTGCTTTTTTAGAAATTTAAATTGTTTATAGTGCTAATCTTTGCACTTAAGATTGAACATTAAAATATGTAGAAAAAGTGCGAAAAGATTGTCGCCGCTGTGGGAATCGAACCCACGTCTTCGGCATTCGCGGCCTGACGCTCTAGCCACTGAGCTAAACGGCTGATTACCACACCGACGAAAATCTTAACGCATTCTTCCACATTGTTTTCTTAGCATTTGAAGCAATGCTTGGCGCCATCTATTGTTATATCCTTTCCAGCATACAAACAACTTCGAATATCGTTTTACAACGATAATTCGAAAATTTCTAAAAAAGCAATGGCGACATCTCTCGTTCGAATTATCGTTGTAAAACGATGTTCGAAGTTGTTTGTATGCTGGAAAGGATATAACAATAGATGGCGCCAAGCATTGCTTCAAATGCTAAGAAAACAATGTGGAAGAATGCGTTAAGATTTTCGTCGGTGTGGTAATCAGCCGTTTAGCTCAGTGGCTAGAGCGTCAGGCCGCGAATGCCGAAGACGTGGGTTCGATTCCCACAGCGGCGACAATCTTTTCGCACTTTTTCTACATATTTTAGAGTGTAATTAATCTTAAAAATGGTAGACAAATATTCGTTAGTAGAGGATTTATATTTAAAAGGAATGGAAAGAATTATCTCTAGGTGACAGGTTCTTACCTGGCAATCGTACAATGAATGGAAGTTTTCAATTACACTATACATCAACAGGATAATCCTAAAAGAATAAACTTGAATATAAAACTTATTAGGTATCTCATCTAACTTTCATCGCACTGTACATACATCGACTTCAAAGGAAACATTATCCAAATGAACAACCTTTTTTTTCGTCGAAAATAAAGAGATATAACTTATAACATTCGCGCAAGGGAAAATCAGCTCAATCGGTTGCACATAGAAATTAATATCGCTTGGAGTATATTCATAGCGGCAATTATCTTTATGGTGAATTGTATTCTTGTAACTTAAGGGCTACTTACTGTACGGTTACTGGGCTTAGGCACAGTGTAGATATGCAAGTAGTAAAATATTTAATAAAATCATAACACGAAAACATCTCTGTTTAGTCAATATATGGGATTTCTTAAATGTTAAGAAAAATCTATTTTAGAAAGATAACAAAACATTTAAAACAAGTATTCATTTTTATTTGAGTAAGAACACATTAATAAAATTATATTAATTATAAAACGGAGTTTTTAATAGAGAAATATAAGAAAAATAAAGAAAATAAAGTATATAATATTTTTCATACACTAAATTCCCAGTATCTTATATTATATTAATAACAATCACATGTAAAATTCTATCCCTTTATATATCTAGTTGGATACTTACATCATGGACTCATGAATGATGCAAGAGTCATCATGGGCATGAGGGTTTTTTCGTGAAAATTTCTCATAACGTGGCCTTGAAATTTTACTCTCGTTAGGTTTCACTTCAAAAACATGTCTGTAACGGTAAAGAGTTTACTAGAACCTATCCCCTATCCTGAGATATGAGCTTCACTCTCGTTAGCTTAGGATTTCTACTGTGATACTCAAGAGTTGAATTATTATTTTATTAGTATTGAAATGTTCATAAAATTGACATATTTATTATTTTTATTAATATTAAGGTTTCGGGCGGCTAAGTTATCGCGATCTGCAAAACTAATCTTATGTTTCAAATAATTACCTACCATTCAGAACAGTCCTTGTTATAAGTTTAACGATGGATTTAGAGAGAGGTTGAAAGTCTTGAGCTCCTTTTCTTTAATTCTTGAATTTCGTTACCTAAATTAGGCTATCCTCATTAACTGAACATAGTTCCACGTCAAAGTCGACTTCTTTTTCTATCTAATTTAAGTCAAGTAGACGTGGGAGCTTGTTTTAAAATTCAAGCTTTGAAACAATTAAACTCAAGAGAATGTTACATAAATAGAGTATTATATTAAGTCTCTGCTTGTTAGTGCTCTGTCATCTAAGTTAAGTAATAAGAACGTAACTTTGTACAACATCAAAAGTACGAAGGAACTAGGAGTTAAACATTTTTTAGTTAAAGAATAAAGTTAATAAAAATCATATTTTGAAAAATAGCATTCATAAAAAATTAACAACGATGAAATTAGTTTAATATTTAATACTTCTTTTGAAAAAAGTTCCAAGCAGCGCTATTGCTAGTTCACTACTTCCTTAATCTAGGTATACTATTTCCGAAAGTATAGTAGAGTAATGGGTTGAATAAATACCAATAAAAAGTCTATGAACAAGGATTTTTATAGTATCTGTTATGGAAATAGCTTGTTGAATATACAGCGTGTCGTTACTATCGACAATAAATGAACACACGTCACTTGCCAATAATCATTAAAAAATATGAACGTTAAATAAAATCCATAATTTAAAAAAAATATTTTTCAAACAAACTAATTAAGTAAAAAAGAAACAAAATTAATAACATCCTATACAACTACAACTGACTGATTCATACATTCAGACACTTTTCCATTCGTTCCTACAGCGTCGCATTACAAGCCTCTCCTTCTAACAGTATGTTTTGTCTCTTTTAAATTCATTCAACCCATTCATATTCTTTGTGACCTTTACAAATGAACTTTACGTTACAGTTTTATACGTAAGGATGTTCTAAAATTCTTTGTTTTAAAAAATTTTAGAACTCTGTAAATATTAATTTTTAAAGAAAGTAAATGTTAAATACAATTTTAAAAAGTTATCCTCTATATGTGTGTTCATTTATTGTCGCGATGGTAAAGACACACTGTATAGAATCAATTATTTGTCGAGTAAAGTTATATTTTCAATTTATAGTTTTAAGTTATAATTTTATATTGATGGGTTTAATTACATAGTTACATTTTAATTTAAGTTCTCGAAGTTTTAAATACTCTATATATGCGACAAAATAAATAGAATTGGGCCGAAAAATTACCTACCTTTTATACAGTTTATTGCATTTTACAGTATTTGTTTCTGAGGTAGAAACATCAGTAGGGCCGGAACATCACATAATTATATGCACAGTATATTGTCTATTATTTTATATAAAATAACGGCTCTGTAAAAACTTTCATGTAGCTACAAATTCTTTCGGAAAAACTTAACTCAGTGTAAATACATTGAATTATTTTATTTATCCGTATGTTGTATATGTGATACTTTATTATTCTTGGCCCTTTGAAACACAACAATTTTGAAATTATAAGTCTTTCTTTTTCCACAGAGAATGCAACTCAAGACGTTTACCTGGACTACCATTCAATGCCGGCTTTATCCGAATTGGATGACTTCGACCTCTGCCTGAAGAAACCCGACGCCGTCTATTGCATTGTAGACTTCGAGTTGTTGGAAGACGACACACCGCTTTACCAATTTATTAAGGTAAAATTTAATATAATCGGTCGGGGGAAGTCTTTTCGCATTTTGCAAGTATGAAGGTAGTAGAATCTCTTTTGTATTGTTGTTTGTATCTGGCTTAGTACCATTAAGTAAATGGAATTTTTAAAAAGAAAAATTAAAAAATAAACACACAGATGCGTTGATAACCTTTTGAAAATTGGGTGCTGGCCACCTCACTCACCAGACGAAACGCGAAACTATTATACTTCCACTTTACGCCGGTCTTCTGTGAGATCGTGGTACTTACCCAGATGAGCCTCCCCATTCGTGCAAGCGCCGAGGCTGCTGCGTGGCCCTACCACCGTTAGAAAAATTGTTTGAGCAGTATTAGGATGCCATCATTGAGGACTATCAAACTACTTATAACATTTTTTTATTATAAATCCTAAAATTTCTACAGGAACAGGATTACAAACAAAATATCACATATAATAATTTAATAACATTTAATCATATCTTCAATGAAAACCAATATAAATTTTACTTACATACAAAATCTTTGCTAGCAGCTTCTGGTCGATGTAATTGACACTTAAATTTTACATTTCACATTTTTTATTCTAGCACAACTGCTAATACAAATTGTAACACTAATAATTGTTACTTCTTCAGAATTTCTCCTCTTTATCGTACAAGAACTACAAGCACACTAAACTGCACCGAGGAGTATGCGGCTCGCAAAATTGTGGTCTTAACATAACCCATGCAAATGCCAGTGAATCCACTGCAGTAGCATTGAAAGAATGCTTCAATGCTACGATACATCAGGGCTACGGATTACAGGTATATGCCGAGTTTTAACCATTTTTATACATTTTCATTAGCTTATCGAAAACAAAAAAAGTTCAAAGGTTATAAGTGACAATAAGAAACCTTATACTAAATTAAAATTTTTATAGTATTAATAACTGCACTTAAGATGAGACATTAAATTTTTTAGAATAAATGGACAACGTTTCAAACGGCAATGGCGACATCCCTTGTTCGAGTTATCGACTATCGTGAAACGATATTTAAAATTGGGAATTGCTACGGGTTTCTAGAAAGAATCGTATTTGAAATCCAACTATATTTAGATCTGATAGGGAGAGAAAACGAAGTATTGTGTTTATCCCTGGAATATCAATTAGGTTATATATTTTTTTGATGCAAAAAGTTATGATCAGTAATATCTAAGCTACGGGCTATATGTATAAAAATATTATATTCGTTGACTAAAATTTTCTTATATGATGATGATGATTTATTATATAGTGATGGAGTGGACAATGTCTAGCCAGTTGATGATAGAAAATAATCTCTTAAAATAAGGGTTAACTACATACTGTATACTTACATTTTAGGTGGATTCGTTATCTGTCCGCTACTGCAAAACCCAAAGCGATCGTTTGCCCTTCGATGCCTTAGACTACATTATTGGGGCCATTCTCTTAGTTGTCTTATTCGTGAATCTGGGCTGTTCTGCCTACCATTTCTTCTGGCCTGCGGAAAAAGGAAAAGGTATAGTTAAATTTCTGTAGCCTACAATAAAAATAAAATTACGTAGGGTTATCAAAATATTTAATTGACGATTCAATAAATAAAAAAAAATCTATAATCGAAAAACTTATCAAATTAATTACTTGCTTAACAAAGATTGAAACTATGAAAAATGTTAGTGCTGTTGAATTATAGAACACCAGCTGCTGCCCGCGACTACGTCTGCGTAGAATAGGCTGAAGGCGTAACATACAGACAGAAAGACAGATATACATAAAAATATGTATATAAATTATAGTCTTTGTTTTATTCTGATGTATAAGCTATATTATTGTAAAGTTTCATTAAATTCCATTCAGTAGTATTTGCGTGAAAGAGTAACAAACATCCATCCATACATACAAACTTTCGCCTTTATAATATTAGTAAGAATTATCACAACACTTGTCCAAATCATATTGTCACTGAAAATCTTCCCAATGTACCAATATGTATATTACCTTATTTTCAATTCATTTTAATTTTCACAGGTAATAAATTCATGTTAGCTTTTTGCGTTCAAAAGAATTGGAAAGCTCTGAAACATGGTGGTAGCGCTGATGGCGGAATCTTCAAGTGTTTCCAGGCCATGAGGTACGGTTTTGTTTTTATTTCTTACGATTTCTTAAAGCACACTAACTCACGCTAAGGTTAATCTCTCAAAAGACAGAAAAATGGGGTGCTAGCCACTTTACACCGAATTCATTGTAAGACTCAAAGGGATGCTGTCAGTTAACACCAAGCAACAGTTTCTACAAAACCCGAGGGCTTGCAGGTGTGTTGGCGACATTAAAAGAGTGGGCCTCGGTTACCTCACTAAACAGACGAAACGTCAAAGTTTAATACCTCCACTTCATGCCGGTCTTCCGCGAGGCTTTGGTACTTCTCCGGATCAGTAAAAAGTGTCTTCTGACATACACGTGATGAAATTTCATTTTCTATCATTTTAAATATCCCATTGGCTAGGTTCTACACAATGGTGATGATCCTCGGACTACATTCAATGATCTTCATTGGCTACGGTTACACTGCCAATCCAGAGTTTATTGAAAAGGTAAGAACAAACATTTATGTTCTACTAATAATCGCCAATCTCAAAAGAAACTACGGCACTCATCCAGGAAAAGATATTTTTTTATTAGTGACAGAAGCAATGAACGTTACGATTTCTTTTGAGCCATGACAGGTCCTTAAGCATCAGCATCATTTCAATCTGTTTGGGTCCACTGGAATCTTGGAACTCAGGCGTCGCCCACAGACCGCCGCTTTGTTTTTTTTAATGTTAGAAAGTGGCAAACGAGCTGGCAGTTCACCTGATGTTAAGTGATAACCGCCACCCATGGTCATTTGCAACACCCGTAGAGTGGCAAATGCGTTGCAACCTTTAAATGAAGTGGGCCCTTGCTACCTCCCTCACCAGATGAAATGCAGGAGTGTAACACTTCTACTTTACACCGGTCTTCTGTGAGGTCGTGGTACTTACCCGGATGGACCTGCCCATTCGTGCAACAGTGTTGCGTGGCCCTACCACCGTCAAAGTAGTTGTCTTAAAAGTAACCAAAATAAAACTAGTAGCCGTAATATCATCTGCAATGACTGAAAACAAAATAAAAGAGCAGACTGCTGGCAACTATTCATTATTGTCACTGTAAAGTAAAGTAACAACCTATACATGTCCCACTGCTGGGCAAAGGCCTCCTCTATATAGAGGGTATCAGGGCATAGTCCACCACGTGGCCCCACTGCGGATTGGCGGACTTCACATATCTTCGAAATTTTTTTTTTTGTTATTATTTCGAAAATATGCATGTTTCCTCACGATGTTTTCCTTCACCGCGGAGCAAGTGATAAGACAGCACTTAAAGTTAAAAACTTCATTGGTGCCGGCACCGGGATCGAACTCAGGTTGCTCGAGTAATATGAATTAAAGGCAAGCGCCCGGGCACTGAGCTATCACGACTCTGTCACTGACCATCATGTTATCCCTCATGAAGTTGGTTTCAAAGCGACATCATGTCGCGTATGACTGCGCGCGCATCGTAATAAATTTACGTTCATATTATCCAAACAGGGCAAAAGAAGTATAACTTCAAAACTTCCGAATCAAAGTGTCAATCTAAATGGACATTCTTATAATACACGAAAATACGTATTCACATAAATTTAATAAACGATAATTTTATTCGACACTTCGATAAATTTAGGTGTCTAGACTGAAATTGATTTTCTGTATTTCAATTTGGTTGACGCATAGGAGTAGAGCTACTATAGCACGCAAATAATAATTAAATTCAAACTGAAAGCATAATTATATTCGTGGAAATTTGGTAAACGGAAAGTGCTTTGTTGTAGTGAATTAATTACAACGGACGTCCGCTTGTGAATGGACGGTTCGTATTTATTGCTTTTAGGTAAACGATTAATTAATAATGACAATAAATTATATTTCATACAGATACGGCCGAATACAGTTGATCATCTGCAGTGAATTGGAAATTGTAATCCGTTTCTTATTTAGCTGATTTTTAAAGGTTAATAATGTTTACAGTGCTATTTTAACTCATAATGAAATTACAAAATTTTTTAGAAAAATGGATGAAAAATTTTTCGCCACAGATTTGAACCTAAAGCAGGTTACAAATTTCTTTCCACTGAGTTCAAGTCCAAGTTATTGCCACCGAGCTAAACGGCTTATCTTCACACCGACGCAAATCCTAGCGTATTTAATTCCACGTAGTTTTTTATTAGGGTGGTTCTTTTACAGAAAAAAATTGTTATTCTCAATGAAATCACTATAATTAAATTAAATGTTAATAACGCCTAATTAATAATGATCATAAATTATAAATAACACTACGACTTTAAAACGCCTGGAACCAGGAATCTTGAGTGTATAAGAAATAATAATGCATTTGTAATTTAGTTCAATTTGCTGTTCTCAACCTTTTTGCTATTACTAAATAAATGAATAAAGAAACTTATGCAAGTCATCAAGCCCTTACCCAGCTGGAGGCTAAGAGAGCGGTACTCTGTATACTTCTGTTATTGATTTTGATTGACGTGTAAAATGTAGTAGTGCTTTTTACTTTCTAACGTACAGTCTCACATCTAAGCGCACACACTAAAAGGTCAAGATAGTTTTATAGGAATGCCCTATTTATTTATGAAATGCTTTTTAAAATTTGATCTTTGTAATTAAATAGTCAACTTTTGTCACTGCGGGATTCGACCTACATCTTTCGAGCAACGCGCCCAGGCGTTTTACCAACTAAGCTAAACAGCCAATGACCTCAAGTGCGAAAATCTTGACATCTTTCTCACTGATATTTATTTTGCTTGGCGCCATCTAGTGAGCATACATTCCAGCATTAAACATTTTTTTAATTTTTGCATTGCTTTCAACAAAATTATGCTCGAATACATTTTTATACAACATTTTATTTTTAAAAAAGGACACAAGTTATGTACTTATGGTATGACACTGTATGATATGACAATGGATAACACATTACAAATGGTCTCTTGCGACATTCAGGCCACGTAACGAATCCATTATACAAACGACACTCGTTCGGATAACGATGAAGTTACAAAATGCACTCACAAGTCTGACAAGATAATTGGTGTAATTGCATCGCACTTAACCAAAAACAACGAAAACCACAAAGAGATGTACCCCTTCACTATTGACGAATGAGTAGTCTTTTTACTGAAATAATAACATTATTATTTATTACGAATGTAATCATCGAAGATCGTATCTGGATAACACATTAAAGACTAAAAGGTTGTGTGTTTAATGAATTGAAAAGAATTCGTTTGAAAATAAATACGTTAATTAGTAGTACATGGATATTGATAAAAGCTGGAAGCCACATATACGTAAATGAGTTAATGATAATTATTTATGTTATTATAGAAATCCATCACTTGACTTCACTTTGTTGCAGTAGTTATAGATTAAGGGATATATATCACGTGCTCCGCGGTGAAGGAAAACATCGTGAGGAAACCTGCATATTTTCAAAATAATAACAAAAAAAATGTGTTTCGAAGATATGTGAAGTCCGCCAATCCGCAGTGGGGCCGCGTGGTGGACTATGCCCTGGTACTCTCTGTATAAAGGAGGCCTTTGCCCAGCAGTGGGAGATGTATAGGCTGTTACTTTACCTTTTTTTTAAGGGATTTCTGTTATGAAGAGGTGTGGGATATTTGAAACTATTTAACGGTAGCTGATCGGTTTTTTTTTGTTCAACCTTATTGGAAATTGGGCTCTGACTACTTCACTCACCAGAAGAAACGCGAAAGTATTTGTCATACTTCCACTTTCCGCTGGTCTTCTGTGAGGTCGTGGTACTTACCCGAACGAGCCTGCCCATTCGTGCAACAGCCGAGGCTGCTGTGTTACCACTGTTAATTTTCATTTCTATTTCTCGTGGTAGTTAGGACTAATGCCTGATTTATTCAACCCTGGGGCTAGTGCCGAGGTGCTGCGTAAAATTTCTCTTTACAAACTGTATGGAAAGTCCCCGGTTTACGAAATTGTGGTGACTCGCTTTCAGCTTGCACTGACGCCACTCTAAGTACTGGTCGTAGCCGGACGCTGCGCCACAGTTGCGTGAACATTGCCATTGCGTGATGCGTCTGGCCCTATTACGGTGCTAATATTTCGAACAACTCGCCTAGTAGGGTGCCGCAGAAAATCCTCACGAAGAATTTCACATCCGATATCGTGCGACCGAGAAATGGTATCGTTTCATAGCATTGGCTTGCTTCCAGCAAAGTCCGTTAGTGGCGAAAGACGGAACAACATGTGAAAGCTACTACAACAACGGCTTGCTGTCTATGAATTTAATGTTTGATCAATCTTTTCACCATTTAAAGTTTACTTGACTAATAAAAAGGACAGAACTTATTTGCTGGTGGTAGGGACACGCAGCAGCCTCGGCTGTTGCACGAATGGGCAGACCCGTCCGGGTAAGTACCACGACCTCACAGAAGACCGGCGTTGAATGTTGTATTAAAATGTGTCCTAAAATATTTAAAATATTTTATTTAGAATGTAATCCTATAGCAATTTCCTATTATTTACCAACCTATGTAGAATTATAAATTAGGTTAATCAAATACAAATGAAGCCTTTCCGTACTTTCTAGAAGAAAGCGATACAATCAAACAGAATTATCCAACAGTTAATAATTACCTACCCACATACCTCGCAGTTAACTGACCGTTTTGAAAGCGTGAAGGCCTTTAATGAAAAGGTTCAGGGCACTTGTTAAGTTACGAAACATTTTAACTAGTGCAATTGTTAATGATTTTGGTGAAGGTGACTCACATATGTTATAATTGAATTTTTTTTTTGTCGCAGACCTCAACGCATTCATGTTTAGAGTGTCATAATTATTATTGACTGTTTTTATTTTTTTTTTATATGAGGTGTCAAGTGGCGGTTCATCTGATGGTAAGTGACAACCTCCGCCCGTGGACATATACATAGGGTTACAGATGCGTTGCCTCCTTATAAGAAAGTTGGTCCCGGCTACCTCACTCACCAGACAAAACATATAAGTGTAACACTTCTACTTTACGCCGGTCTTCTGTGAGGTCGTGGTACTTACCCGGATGGACCTGCCCATTCGTGCAACAGTGTTGCATGGCCCTCCACACCGTCAAAGTAGTTGTTTTTAAAGTAACCAAAATAAAATCTAGTAGCCGTAATATAATCTGCAAAGACTGAAAACAAAATAAAAGAGTAGACTGCTGGCAACTATTTATTATTGTCAATGATCGTACTATGTCTATGACCATACTAATACTTAACGCCGGTCTTCTGTGAGGTCGTGGTACCTACCCGGACGGACCTGCCCATTCGTACAACAACGAAAACTGTTGCGTGGTCCTACCACCGACAATACCGAATAACCATCATAATTGTACTACCCTGTACTTTGAGCTGAACACATTGGAACAAATCATCGCCAGAAAGATTCTTCTATGGGTCAAGGCAATTAAAATATTTTATGGGATTTATGTTTTTCAACTAATGCACTCCTTACGTATGTTTTAGCGACAATATCTAAAAATTTTACATTATATCTAAAAATGTAGCTTCTATATGTTTAAATATTTATAGTGCTAATCTCTGCACTTAAGATGAAACATTAATTTTTTTAGAAAAAGGGAACGAATAGTTTCTCGCTGTTGTGGAATTCTAACCCACGTCTTGAGGATTCACACCCTGACGATCTAGCCACTAAGCCACGCCGACGAAATTGTCAACGCCTTTTATCTACATTGTTTTTCAGCATTTGAAGCTATACTTGGCGCATCAATTTTTAAATCTTTTCCAGCATACAAGCAATTTCGAACATCGTTTTACAACGATATTTCGAACGGGAGATATCGCCAGTGCTTTTTAGGAATTGTTTATATTTGTTAAAAAAAACTCAAATACAAGCCGATGGACTAATTGGATATTTGTTCGTCACATAGCTATTGAACAGGAGAGACTTGTTATTTACCTTCCATTCCGAATTTCCATAGGAAATGAAATTCGGAAAAGCCACAGCGAAGCGTGGCGCACTATAGCCAGTGTAGCATGTATTTGATAACCTGACTCTACTTTTACCCTTTGGGTACGGAACCCTTAAAATTATTTAAAAAAAGTTTCCCTGTTCATTAAAACCAAATTTGCATTTATCGAAATGAATTATCATGAAAATAAAAAAAATTGAATATTACTTTAATGAATCTCTATACCATGTTGTGTCTAACGGGTTCTTTATTAATTAATATCTATGTTTGACCCGAATGGCGCAGTGGGTAGTGTACTACTGGAAAAATATTGTGTAATGCACATAGCGTTCTTCTAGTGTCTGGGTATTTATGTATGTATAATATGTACCTGTTTATTTGCAAAAGAAAAGTATGTTTATAAGTTATCTAGTACCCATAGTACAAGAGTTGCTTACTTTGGGACTAGAGAACGTTGTGTAAAAATGTGTCCTAATATATTTATTTATTTATTACAGTCCTACGACGATTTCTTCAAGTCTTTGCTATTCAATGCTCGCGTGATCGTCCAGATATTCTTCGTCATGGGCGGATTTCTGATGGCCTACAAAATGCTGATATACGCCGAGAGCCATCCGTTCTCATTTAAAACCATACCGATGGCTATAGTAAACAGATGGGTCAGGTAATAAAACTAACTTACTAATTACTACTACATCTACTAGTACTAAATTAACCTCTAACCGTAACATCACTTGCGTGAGGTTTCCTTCATGAAGTTGTTAATTTTTGCTCCATGCAAATTCATTTGGCCGTAGCGGCATAATAACAGCTGAGGTTCCTGTTGAAACTTATTTATTTATTTACTTATCCCTACGAGTGTTGCAAATGTCCACGAGCGGCGGTTATGACTTAACATCAGGGAACCACCAGGTCATTTACCACTTTCCACATAAAAAAAGAAAAAAAATTAATACCTCTTCGTATTCTCTCCCAGTCAAGGGGCGTGGTGAGAAATCGTGATGGGTGCAATCACTAGCTTTCGCGTTTACAATATTAGTTCGATATTTTCTACCATTTACTCCAAATAAAACAACGAGGTACAATCAGAACCTGAGGTTGATACATTTGACCCAGTACTGTCTATGTAAGTCGATGGCATTTCTGAGACACAGCTAGTTATTTTTAGAAGGCGGATAATTGCACCAATGTAATGGTAAAATCAATGGTAAAATATTCTTTTCCAACACATTATCATCTCGCCACTTAACAGTGTAGCATTAGGCAGTTTTAGAAATAACTTAGTAAGTACTTAGATGGATTGTGAACACTTAACCCACTGAGTCGGAATAACGGATTGTATAACGGATATATTGTCGTGTGCATACTACGATTGCACTACTTTATTTCATGGGAAATTTGCCTAATAGTAGCGGGGGAATGGCGAACTTATGATCTGTATCGCCCGCATTCATCACCTAAACGTTCGCTTAACGGGAACGGAATTTCGTTTTTTTTTAATGTGCACACTGGCATGCCCATGCAGTCATAACGAATTGAAACATAAATGCCGATAATATCAAAACTGTATTAAAACGTATAAAAATTATTGTATGATGTACAAAGCTCCCACAACAAGCGAAAAACATCAAAAATGAGCGTTCACATTTCCATTTAAAGTATATCATATACACTTTAATGTTATCTAAACGCATTATTATTACCATCATACATGCGAAAAATCTAAGAGATAAGGGAGTTCATTGACCGCAGTCCTATTCCGCTAAAGTAATACGTGGGAAGTATTGAACGTTGCATGCTTTAATTTCACTGATGATTCAGGTTATCCTAGTCCATGCCTCATTACTGTCCTAGGTTAATCCCGGCCGTGCTGGTGGTGATGGGTTTGGCGATGACGTGGGTCCCGCACATGGGCTCCGGACCCATGTGGGATGCCGTGGTAAAGCGAGAGAGGGACATCTGCAGGAGAAATTGGTGGCAACTAGTAATCCTTATGCCGAACCTGTTTCCTTTCGAACACCTCTGCCTACCGCAAGCGTGGTAAGTATACATTTTGGCGCCGTAGTTTACGTTAAGTAGTTTAATGAAGTTTGCTTAGATTAGATTGTATGTATACAGCGTGACGTTACCATCGCGAAAATAAATGAACACACGTCTAACGCTACTTGTCAATAATCATAAAAAAATATTAACGTTAAACAAAATCCATAATTAAAAAAAAAATATTTTTCAAACAAACTAATTAAGTAAAAAAGAAACAAAATTTGTAACATCCTATACAACTCGCATCACAGCGTCGCATTACAAGCCTCTCCTTCTAACAGTATGTTTTGTCTCTTTTAAATTAATTCAACCCATTCATATGCTTTGTGACCTCTACAAATGAACTTTACATTACAGTTTTATATGTAAGGGTGTTCTAAAATTGTTTGTTTTGGAAAATTTAATAACTCTGTAAATATTGATGTTTGAAGAATGTAAATGTTTAATACAATTTAAAAAATTTATCCTCTATATGTGTGTTCATTTATTGTCGCGGTGGTAAGGACACGCTGTATATGAATTTTAGAGTTATTAGATCGTACTTTTCCCATAGGTGAATCTCCCATACTAGTCCGTCTTATAAATCGACAATGTACTTAGGCAACGACATGTTGTATATTTAATATTTTACCTACGGTACAACATTAAAATATTTCAACACAATTGCAAAACCGAGTAAACGGTACCAGTGTCATGCATGTAACTGCCTAAACAAACCTTGATACCGCCGTAATGGCGGTTAGGCAAGACTCGAAAGAGGACATCTTGATCTCTCCAAATATGAGATGCAATGTATGCAGAAGGAATGGTCACGAGCAACCGGATCGTTTTAAACGGTTTTATTTAGCTTGACGCGTTTGGGTCAAATCTAGTAATTCAAATTTCGACCCCCTTCCTGTTGACGGTTTGATCTGAAATTTGGTAGTTTTAGTTCTGATGACAATGCAATTTAATACATCCGGTATCATTGGGGTAATCGGTGAACGCGCGTAACCTGGTCGTAATATGTAAATGGCATTTAAATTTAGCACTTTTTGACTTGATAGAAATTTCCCAATGGGATCTGCGTGGCCCTACCACCGTCAATTTCCCATGCAGCAACCTCGGCTGTTGCACGAATGGGCAGGTCCGTCCGGGTAAGAACCTCGACCTCACAGAAGATCGGTGTAAAGTGGAAATATGAAAAAGACTTTCGCGTTTCTTCTGGTGATAGAGGTAGCCGGAGCCCAATTTTCAAAAGGTCAACGCATCTGTAACCCTCGGGTGTAGCAGATGTCCAAGGCGGCGGATTTCACTTAACATCTGGTGAACCGTCTGCTCGTTTGGCAACTTAAAAAAAAAACGATTTTATATTTTTCTCTGATCAGTGCCCTAAGTTGTGATGACTAGTATCTAGGACCAAATGAATTATTTTTTTAGCTTTTAGTACATTGTCTACATCAATTTAATCTTTATTTTCAATAAAACTGTTTAATACTTACTATAATATCGGTTTTACTATATGAACATTACTTAGTGTTATGCAGACATTTTCCTTCTCTCAAATTCCAGTGGCATTGAAAATTTCAAATGAAATTTTAAGTGCTGACTTATCATAATATGGTCGACGGCGAAGGAAAACATGGTGACGACACTAGCACATCATCAAAATGATACAAAAAAACTCTCGATGAATTGTGAAGACTGTCAATCCGCATAGGAGTCGCGTGGTAGACTATTCCCCAATCAAATCAATCAATCCCTCTCTACGGAGGAGGCCTTTGCCCATTGGGATATAATTTATATGTTACCTTTTTTATTTTACTTCACCAAAATGAGATCTCAAGACCACGTTATAGCCACTTAATGTCACCGTCTGTATTATAAAGGAAAATAAACCACAACAAGCGAACTCCTTCCTATAAATTCCGGTATTGCAAAAGGATGAACGACACGCGACCAACCTGCGAATGCTGCGCGGAATTGCAATTACACGCATCATGCGGACTCAAATTGCGTCTGCATCTGTTGTTGGACATGTTATCGCGTCTAAGGCTAATTTCACATCGAGATTGTAGCAGCTCAGGGGATAAGGTTTTATTTCCATGTTATAAAAATGTTGAAATATAAAATGTCATTGCATGCGTCTGTTTTTATAATCTCCTTTTACTAGGTTGCCTGGAAGAAATCGCTTTTAAGGGATAAGGCCGCCTGTTGTACAGTTTTGTATTTTTTTTAATTCTTTAATATCCGTTGTTAGTGTACTATACCTGAAATGTATTACTATACTATAGTATCACTATATTATAGTATCACTACATAGTATAAAACAAAGTCGCCCCACCGTGTCTGTATCTATGTATGCTTAGATCTTTAAAATTAGCCTACTGATCTTGACGCAGTTTTTTTTTACTAGATAGAGTGATTCAAGAGGAAGGTTTATATGTATAAGACATTGCACCGTGCGAAGCCGGGGCAGGTCGCTAGTTGTTGATAAATTGACAACGGCGAATGTTAATGATAAATATTCTATCATTTATTTTAGTAGCGTTTGTAAAGTATAAAGTTGAGTATCGTCCTGTACATGTCCTACTGGAGGCCTTTGCCATTTCTGTCCAGAGGGCATAGTCATGGACTTGGTTTTTACGTACCTGCAGTACAGTTTCTATTTGTCTCATTAACAATACATTGCCCTTACTTTGGGATAACGTTATCCTGTGTTGGGACGACGTTCTACAAACATACATTTCACGTAGACAAACGCCCAGTTCCGAAAGAATTATCTGTTAGTCATACAAATGGTTGTCCCGTTGGCAGTCGAACCAACGACCACCGGCGCCGAAGCCAATACCTTGTTAACTGAACCACGGAGTCATCTGCTTACAGAAAAGCAATCGTTTTTCAAACGCAGAGTCAGATGTTATTTTTAAGTTAACTTATTATTACTAGGTACACCAACAGCACAAAATATAATATCATTTATGTCTTCTTAACTATAGTAGGGCCTATTACTGAAAATAAACTGAAATGAAAAATAAAACAGTGAGAAAGAGAAAATAGGTTACGTAAATTCAATAGTACTATTTAGTATTTACTATTGTAATAGATGTTAAGCTCGGTCTTACTTAATCCATTACCCGTGATATACCATGTGTAATATATATACATGTAACTTCTGCAGAATAATCTTATACCATTCTTGGGTCAATTTTTATACGATATAGTTTTCCATCGAGGAAAATGTTCATTGTCTCATGTCCAAAATAAATTAATAACAAATTTCTATTTGACTTTATTTAACTTTAATAATGATATAATTATAAAACTGGCCAAGTGCGAGTTGGACTCGTACACGAAGGTTTCCGTACCGTTATCTATAAAAACGGAGAAAAATGTAAGAGCACCACTTAATTATTTTTTTTCTGTTTTTTAGTAAAAATTTCAACTGTCTAACTCGGTCTATCACGTTCATGAGATACAGCCTGGTGATAGGCGAACAGACAGACAGACAGGCAGACAGCGTAGTCTTAGTAATAGGGTCCCGTTTTACCCTTCGGGTACAGAACCCTAAATATTATATGCAAACAAGGCCCATCGTTTTTACACGATTAAAACATGTTTATTTTGAGTGATTGAATTGTTGGGTTTTCCTATCCTCTGTGCGAATACATGAAGGAAAATATCAAGTTAAGTCTAAATCATCGTAAATACAGCTTGTGTATCTCGTTTGGAGTAATTAAAGTGAGTAAAAGATAATGATTAATTAGTAAATTACACAGCAGCTATTAATTAATAAACTGTTAATGGTAACGCTTACATTTAAACGTTTCTAATTACCATGTTAATTTGCTTGTCTTTAATGATAATCTAAATTGCAATCATTTTTATTGCATCAAGTCAAACTGAAGTGGAATTTCGACTGGGTAATTGGTATCATTTAGTAACTATTCGGGAAATTCACTATTTAACTTTAACAACGCACATTGTATTAAATTTGTACATAAATCTTAATTAGTCTCATTCTATTTCGCGCATTAAAATGTTTCTACTGGTTTTGATATACCAATGAGCCCCGCACACTGACTTTTTTGTGTTGGAATTTGTATTGGAAGCTTAAATACTAAAACACAAAATTCAGTAAAAAAATGGAAAGACGCAGCCTGAAGACCTACTCAGTACAAAGGGCATAAGAATCTACCACACGACTGGTGGATTTCAAATGTCATCGAAATATTTTTGTTATCATTTCGAAAATCCGAGGTTTCCTCACAATGTTATCCTGCACCGCCGAGCACATGATAAACACTCATAATTAACTACTTCATTGGTAAGTACTTAAAATTAACAATTTCATTAGTGCCGGCACCGGGGAACGAACTCGGGTTGCTTGAGTATATTGAATTAAAGGCGAGTGCCTGAACAATGATCTATCACGGCTTCCAGTAAAAAAAAAGGGAATAATCTTAAAGTCCTAGGTGTATATCGAGATAGGATGTTTAGGATTTCTGATATGTAGGATCTATATGTCCTAGGTGGATATAGGACATATAGGTGGACATATATAGATTTGATATGGAAATTAAAAGCAAGCGCCCAGACTCTGAGCTATCATGGCCCGTAATATGCTGTCTATATATAAAGAACTAAATTGGCACATAGTTTGTGTACTTTTTTAATCCAAAAAGTGTAACTGTTTAGTCGATAACTATTCAGCGCCACTGAGATTCGTAAAAAAGGGAGTGAGAGCCGTTACACCACCATAGCTACCGGTGGAAGATAAGCAGATTTAAAAAAAAATGACAATAACAACTTTAAATCTTCACAGGTACCTCGGTACTGATACTCAGCTGTTCCTGGTGACTTTGGTCGTCCTTCTGATCGTATGGCGGTGGCCAAGGAGCGGGGTCCCCGTGCTCAGTGGTATAATGGCAGTGAGCCTGGTGATACCATTCCTGCAGAGCTACTTCATGGACCTCATGCCGATAAGAGTCAGCATATTCCCGGAGTGAGTTCCTTTTAATTTTCACTGTGAACAGTAAAGCGTCAGCTTTTGTTTAATCACCAGACCTGCCATCAGATTCCTCTAAAAGATCAGCGTGAACTTGATGTTAACCCGAATGGCGTAGTGGGTAGTGTACCTGGCCCCTGCGCTAGATATTGTGGGTTCGATCCCGACTAGAATATGGTGTGATGAACATGGTGTTTTTCTAGCGTGTGGATCTATATATGTACATTATGTATTTATTTACAAAAGAAAAGTATGTTTATCAATTATCTAATACCATAGTAGTACAAACGTTGCTTGGTTTGGGAGTAAAGAACGTTGTGTAAAAATGTTTCCTAAATATTATTATTAAACATGGTTCATTCGTCTTTCCTGTAAAAAAATTTCATATCTCATCTCTGAATTTGTAAGACACTGAAAAATATTTTTCATCTAGTCCCCCATATGAGGAGCAAAGTGCTTAAAGTGTGCCCAGGTCCTTGTTTATTATTAGCATTTTTCGCCATTTTATATGGATGTAATTGATAAATAAAAAGTTCAAATATTTTTTATTCATTTTATTTTCTCGGTTCGGAAAACATACAGTACTTACATAAAATAACTTGGACAATTACACACGCATATTTGGGCGAATAAAGCTTACATGTAAAATTTTAAACTCTTCTTTTAACATATCATATAATTTATAAAAAGTCATATAATTTCAGTCCTTAAAGCGTTACAGATTATATGCTCTCCTTTATAATTAGAATTAATTAATTAGTGGAATAATACTATTATACGCTTTATCGTATGTGGCATTGTTTTTCTCCTGTTTGTCTTTGTTTCTTGTAAAACAAAAAACACAAACAATTAGATATTTTCTCCTTGCGTTTGTTACTATTTTGTATTGGAAACACGTGTTAAATATTAAAATAAACACAACTATGTTTTCGTTGATTTTCCACTAAAACAATGCATCGAGTATCGATCACTTGTAGAATGTAAGCTATTTGAAATAGATTTAAAAATTAAATATAAATCATTTAAGTTGAATAAAACAGTGTAATATCAAATTACATCTAACCGCTCAATTTCAATTATAGAGACTAAACTTCTAGTTATTACCAGACTTTGTCAACAGTAATATATTTTAGAGTTGAAAATACTTCAGCGCTATTACCTAAGTTTAGATTACCTTACGGAGTATTGCGTCGACATATTTATTCATTGAATTTCAACCTTATCCTCAGATCCATAAGAGACATATTCGGGTACAATGACACGTTCTACCACGCTTACGTGTCAGCACAAGGAAACTGGGCAGGATACCATCTCGGAGTGCTAACGGCTTACTTTTACCACAGAGCGCAAGCCGAGAAGTGGAATTTAAAAGATTCCATCGTAAGTATCTCACAGATGTCAAAATAAATTTTATAATGAATCCTTTATTGTGGAACAATAAAGAAAAGAAACGCAAAAGGTTGACTGTTTTCAAATAAATAGCTACAAGCGACCTAATTACTTAAATTGAGGTGGCCGGAGCCCAATTTTCAAAAGGTTGTCAACGCATCTGGAACGTACAGCAGATGTCCATGGGCGGCGGTATTCACGTAACATCAGGTGAACCGTCTGCTCGTTTGGCAACTTTAAAAAAAAAAAATAATAAATCACATTCTTCTTTTCTTTGATCATTATCGTAATTTCTTTTTATATCATTTTTCTAAAATTTTTTTTTCTATTTTTATTTTTAGTTGGTTTAACTGAAACGTATAATGATAACTAGTAATCTTTACACGAATAATATTATACTTGTAAATTTTATAAAAATATTAATATATCATATCAGGAACAGTGTTGTTATTGGTTAAAATTATGCATGCACAATATTAATGTTTATAGAATTAAAAATAAACAACGGAAGACATTGTTGGGTCACGTTATAAAACATCACATGTATTTAAAAATGTATTGACTATATAATATATGTGGCTGGTGTAGTTTGTGTTATTTACTTTAAAAAAAATTAATAAATATACAAAAATGGACTATCTTGATATCAATGCGTCCTTTAAGCATCTGATAACTTCATCAGTGTCATTATAAAGAGTGGATCTGGAGTGGAGTGCACCTGGATTTCAACACAGATAGCAAACTTTGCACGCTTTAAATGAATTAATGAGGCATATAAAATGTTTGCTCGATTTTATTTCCACACTGGATAAATATTGATAACTCATAAAATTGAGACTTTTGGTTTATAAGATAAGTTCCTTCATTTTCAATATGATGTAACCAAATTAAAATCTCTAAACCTCTGGTTGATAATCTAAACTAATATTATAAAGATTTGATTTGAGCTTTGTTTATTACGATTTAATTTAAAAATTACTCTACCGATTTTAATATATGTTTCACCGTTAGAAAGCTACATCTTTACAGAGTAACTTAGGCTATATTATATTTTCACAAAAATTAGAGATCACTGCCTAAAATTGAACAATGTAAATCAGGGTATCAAAATTTTGCCTATAAAGACATTTTGTGTGCGCTGCGAAATCTATTAACGATATGTAAAATAGAATTCTAGATATTAATAGTACTAATGTTTACTACAAATAAGCTATATTTTAACCCTGAGTTAACACGGGAACGGGAAGTATGTGGGTGAAATAAATTATATTTATATCATGCAATTCAGTATCACAATTTTCACGGACGAAGTCGCGGGTGAAGTGCTAGTACATCATAAAATAATAAACGCATATCTTTATTGTATTTTCGCGGATCTTTGCAGCTTAAAGAATTCCTTGACCTAAGTAATATATTCTCATATTCTTTGTTGTATTTTTGCGAATCTTTGCAGCTTCTTAAACTGCTGTTTATTACGTCGATCCCGATCGCTTTCGGCACCGTTCTGATGGGCTGGGACCTGCACAGCCGGCGCGCCACCGCCTTCGAGTCGGCCATTTTCAACGCCCTCAATCAGAACTTTTTCGCGCTGGCCATCTGCGTGTTTATCGTTGGATACTTCTACAGATGCAATAGTAAGTACGGCCATTACGTTACCTGTGATCTCTATCTCTCTCTCTCTCTCTCTCTCCTGTGCAATAATTATTCCCATCTGATGGTGGGATCTGCCTTCCTGGTCTTACACTTCCACTTCACCCTATCCGACGCGTCATCTTCTGTGACGTTGCAGAAATGTAGATCTTGTCTGACCACATCCGTCCACCTGCTTTTGGGTCGGCCTCTGGGTCTAGATCCCGGAATGCTCAGATTGGTTACTACATTTCCTATGTGCTCTGGAGGTTTTCTTTTAATATGCCCAAACCATTGCAATGCATTACGTTACCTAAGATATTGTCTATTGATTTTAGTTATTTTTAATTTATTTCCACCCACAATGACATTCTATACAAAAACACATATATAGGACAATAGCGCACTGAAGTACCTGGGGTAATCAGATTGCTATTTTATGCAGTGCTATCTCTTTCTGTATCATACGTTCTATATCATCTATCACATTCACTTATGTATGTCATATAATATAAACTGAACTATTTTTAAACGCCGCGCAATACGGACATGCGACATAAAAACATCATTGGCTACCCACATACAGATCTCACTAAAATGACTTAAGACACTAGTAAGTTGGCTTTATGTAACCTTCAACTTCGAAGGTAATAAAATAAGGATTAAATAAAAACACGAAAAGCCTGTCTCACAAACATAACGACTGCTAGAGACGGGCTTGGCATAAAAAGTATAACAAAAGTTAAAGAATTCCGACACCCAGACCAGACAAATCTGTTCATTAGGAGAACGTTGCATTGTCATCTTAAGGAAAAAATCTTGTTTTTCTCAATCCAGATAAGTGTGATCATTTATATCGAAACCAAATGTAAACATTAGATTTTATTTATAAGAGTTCTAACGTTTATACCTTGATCCTAATATTTTAACTATTGCTGAACTTCAGTATTAACATCTATTATAACGACAAGCAGCACTAGTGGTTATATCACCGTCCGGGAACGCGGCCGAATTCCAAGTAACCGCTGCTCTATGCGACCATGTGTCCCTTAGCTCGAGTAGATAACGTCATATCCGGTAAACAGTGTTGCCAGCGCCATCATATGATACATTTTGCAATTATTTTGATATCTAATATATAAAATTCTCGTGTCACGGTATTTGTAATTGAACTCCTGCGAAACGGCTCGACCGATTTTCTTGAAATTTGTGTGCATATCGGCCAGGGTGGAGAATCGGACACCATATATTTTTCATCCTCCTAGATGTTAAGGGTAGTCCAGCCCAAATATTTTTTTCTACCCTACAAATTTTTGAGAAATAATTTATACGGCAAGACATCGTTTGCCGTGTCAGCTGGTAAGATTATATATATGTAAGAAATTTTTATTGTTGGTAATTTTTCTTTCAATCACTATTAACTTAATCAATTCCTACACTTAATTTCCTACATTCCGATAAAGATCGCAATTAGGCATCGGTGTCTTCTCGTAATTGCGATGTTTCTGGAATAAATTATGACGTCCAACACGTTTTGATGGAAATCGCTTGGATCGAAAATTTACGGTTGTCGTGTTTTGGTCGGGGTGTCTCAATGGATGTAGGGCGCCTAAACGTTATCTTGTCCTATCCAATGTCGGATGTGGTCAAGTTGATGTTTAACCTAGGTTAGCCGAACTTAATCTTAAATTAAATAGAAGCGTGGCTTGCAGCTTGTAGCAGGGCGATGTGTTCACAACGACAAAAAACTTTCATTTAATTAATAAGTATCTGGAAAACCGAACTTTGCTCGGTTTTTTTTGGTAATTCATGTATTTTGGAAATAGAAAATATAAAAAATAAAGAAAATTATTTGGTTTAGAAAAAAAATTTAAAAAAAAAAGTGTGTAAATGATCGTGATACGAACCGCGGCCGTCGGTTTTGGGGCCGCCCGATTACCGACCGAGCTATTATAACATTTTTATTTTCGGCAAAATTTACTGTCATATTTGAATGATATTTTTCATTCCCTAAAAACAATTATAATACATATAGATAAAAGGACATTTTCTAAAAATAAAACCTAGCTAGATCTATTTTTCGCCGAATCCACGCACATACTACACATACATAATTTCATGATAATCGCTGGAGCCGTTTCCGAGATTCCGATTATATATATATATATAAATTTTCTTTGCTGCAAAATGGAATTTTGAATTTTGTCCAAAAAGGAAAACACTTTTCATTCTCCTTGTCCTGAAACCTTACAGCTCTAAACATCAATTTACGTTAAAGTATCGAGGATTACACGGAATCCTGAGTAACGATAAAAATTGGAAATAAGATCCTTTTTGACTTTCCCCGCATAAAAAGGTGGTAACATTGCTGTTTTGTTGCCCGTGATTAGGATGACCATTCTTCTTATTCTTCTCTTAAACCAAAATAACTTTTGAAAATGATTTTAGGATATTAAAAGATTATTTATCTTTTTATAAATAGGAATTAACTTGGTACGTTAAAAACATTGCGTTCTATTTTCACTGTTTCAAAATAAAATAATTATCGTGATAACATTACTAAAAGATAAATATGTTTTTTTATTAGACATGTAAAAACAAGGAAATAAATAGTTTTAAAACTAGTTAGGATAGGAAGTAATAAATTTGATAGAATAATCATAGAAGAATTTTCAGTATTTTTTTTTTATAAAAAATACTTTTCAAATATTTTTGACATAAATAAATTCCATTATACATTTTTTTTAGCACATTATTATATATTGTTTACAACTGATATAATTTTTAAAAGGGTTTAAAAATTTTTTTTACTTATGGTCTCCCTATATCCGAAGCAACTTTATTAGCATTTTTTCTACGTGTTCAACGTAATACTGAGTAGGATTTTTTCTGAATGTTAATTTATATATCCACGGCATTTGTATTCCATGTTCAACTTGGAAAATACAGTAATAAATTATAACACAGATTTTTTTTTTCTTAAAAAAGGTAAAGGAAGGGTTATTATATATTATATAATAACTTACAAACAGTGTCGAGCCTTGGACAATTGTATGCTCTTCGTTTATTATTATTTTTTAGATTTTTATTCCTAATTCTAAAATAAAAAATAACGTCTAATCCATAATCAGAATTATAACTCATTAGCTAAACGTTATTTATACAAAGATACATATAAAATGACAACATTGCTAAAAATGTAACAAAAACAATGTAGATAAGTCGTCGAGATTTTGGCGCGGTGAGGTGAAAGTGAATAACTTAAAATGATAAATTGTTTTGCCGGTTTTATCTACACATTGTCACACGGTAAGGATGTCGACCGCTTGGCTAATTGGCTAGATCGTCTCAACGTGAAATCTGTAAGGCGCAAGTTTGAATCCAGGTAGCAATAAACATTTTTTCAACAATTTTATCATTGTAGAAGAAATGAGTTCACTGTTATACTATATATACCTCTACTGTCTACAAATATGTATAATTGTCATTATTATGTACTACTTCAAAAATAAGATTTAAATAATATTGTATAATTTCTATTACAAATTTTAAATAACTATAACTCTGAAGGATTTAATACGACAAAATAATAATATTGCATAAATCGTGAAATTAAGAAATTGTTCATTATAAACATAAAATAAAAATATGTAATTATTACTAACTATTTAGGAACTCTTTTACGCTGTAATAAGATTTATCAATTAAGGGTTTTTAAAATTTGTGTGAAGGAAAATCTCAATAAGTAAATGAAAAAGTAAAGTAACAGCCTATACATGTCCCACTGCTGGGCAAAGACCTCCTCTGTACAGAGAGTGTCAGGACATAATTCACCGCACGACCGCACTGCGGATTGGCGGACTTCACATATCTTTTTTTATTTCGAAAATACGTAGGCTTCCTCATCACGTTTCCCTTCACTCCTAAGCACGTGGTAAGACAGCACTTAAAATTAACAATTTCATTGGTGCTGGCCCTGGGGATCGAACTCAGGTTGCTCGAGTAAATTGAATTAAAGGCGAGCGTCCATTGAGCTACACGGCTCTCATTAAATCAATGACATTATTATCCTTTATGCAATAAGCGTCCTTCTGAAGGTACACACACATTCTGATCTACTATATTAGCCATATAATCTGAAACAACTTTATCGTTTTGTACAGGAATATACGTTGGTGCAGTGGAATGGGGTCCACTGCAGCCTCTTGGTCGCCTGTCGTATTGCGCAATGCTAATGCACGCGACTGTACTCCGGACGTACGGCGGTCAGCTGCGACGCTCGTTTTACGCAACGGACTATACAGCTGTAAGAAAATATGTTCTATCTTGACGTCCTAGATAAGAGGCAGTAAATTGGTACCCATTACAGAGCGCCTGTGATTATCTTATTGAGAAAGTACAATTACTTTCAGACGAAACTTATCTTCTGTGAGCTCGTGGTACTTTTACGCCTAAGCCGAGATTCACGTCAGGGCAAAAAAATATGACACAACACATTTAACACAGTGATAATAGTGGAGCCTGGTAGCTTTCCTCACTAACGGCCAATGGTAAATCGCGGTGCTGGCGCCAAAGAAATTTGTAATTTTAAGTCACTTAACTTAAGGTCTCTTAACACGTGCCGTACCGATAAAAATCTCAGCGCTTTTTATACACATTATGTTTTTGGAAGCATTGGTTGGTCAACCGCTTAGCTTAGCGATTAAAGCACCTGGGTGAGAATCCGTAAGATGTGGGTTTCGATTCCCACAGCGGCGATAAACTTTTATACAAATAAAAAAAATGTTTCGTAGATATGCAGTGGGGTCTTGTGGTGGTCTATGCATTAATACGCGGTATAGAAGAAGCCTGTACCTTAAACACCTTTTCTTTACATTAAACTCGCTAGATTTATTGTTTATGTACTGAATATGAAATAGCAACCAAACCAATTGTATTGTTTGTTGTAATCAAAACTGTACAATTAAACTTGAAAACGTGTCATGTTTTGATTGCCCAAAACTGTGTGTTTTCTAAAATTTCAAATTATATAAATATTGTTGGTAAAATATACTAAATCAATTTCTGTTCATTTGATATTATAAAGATACGTAAAGCAATAATAAACAGCTAATCGATTGGAAGATTCAAAAATCTGTATGGCACTAAGCAGTACCACATTGTTCCTTTGCCTAGGTATTTTATCTTTACCGTTTTCAGATCATGCTCTTCGCTGGAATCGTTTGCACGACCTTCCTCACCTCTCTACCGCTCCATCTCTTCGTGGAGGCGCCTGCATGCCAACTGCAAAAGATTCTCCTAAGTCCAAAGAGGCCACAGAAGGAATCTGAGAACGCAAACGTCAACCACGTCAAGCCAGGAATTTCCACCGTCTCAGTGTCTACCGTCTCAACTCACATCTAAATGTTAGATAAAATTTTCAGAGGCTAAAAAAAATCTTTATTAATCAAGAAATCGATAGATTTAAGGAAATAATGCTTCAAAGAAGAATATCATAATACTCCGTAAAGTAGTATTAACGAATGGATTATTAAAAATAAGTGTTTTAATTACTATAAGGTATTTTACTCATTATTTAATATTTTTTCTGATTTTATAACAATGAGTACTTGAAAGCACATCACGTGTGATAGTTTGATAAAACCCTATTTACCGAGAAGTCACTTGTCTGATAAAGAATAGACGTGTATACTCGTATTGGTGAAAGTTAAACGAGCTCACTGCATAACGTCACCGAATAAGTGATTTAGCAAAGAAATGTAATCAAAGTAACGATTTCTATAGTGTTTGAAATATTTATGTTGACAATTAATGTTCTCTTCAGAGAGAGATGAGAAAACTTCTCTGAACGGTATTTTAACGTTTCAAAAAATTCTAATTCTTGTAAGCATTGACGTACCAGAAACCTCTGGAATTCGCCGATGATAAGTAGCGTCGTTATAACCTGTCCCTTCCTTCGACCGCTCGTCCGGCCACATCAAATATTCCAACCGAGTCCCCGATGACGGGACGCTTACACTGAAAACACCCGCATTTTGTCGAGGTTAAGTCTCAAAATGATAGATGGCCGCGCGCTATGCGAGCGGAGTGACAAAGAATAATGACGCGAGAAAATATTATAGGGTACGAGATTGCCAAAGTTAGCTTCGGCGTGATATGTATTGCCGTCATAGTCTCAGAGGTTGTGACGAATGTATTTGCGTTTGAAGCCGCGATCCAGTTTGCTTCTCGGGGCTTCCCACAGTCTATGAGAATGATTGTTGGAATTGCGGCATTGACTTGAAACTGACATTCACAATCAAAATATACATGTAGACAAGCTCGTACGTTTTGCACAATTTCTCAGACCAGTCCACGAAACATAAGAATTGTCTACTGACTAAATAAGCTTCACACAGTTTTTAGAAATAACCTGAGATCGCAGATTGTATTTCCAGTGACTTACACTAACCGCTTATCAATATTGTTGATTATCTAAGAAAATTTATTTCCCGTGTCCAAAAGACTTGTTTGATATCACTAATGTCTAAAGTAGTTACAAAATTTCCGAAAAGATAAATAATGAAATGCAAGTTAAATTATTTTAGAAACTTTTATTATAAGCGGTAAAAATATATTTTTTATGTCTTAGCTACCATATACATTTTTATAGATAACTTTAAAACTAATATCCAGCGTAGTGCTGATTGGATTTTTCAAATCTGATAAAACGATATTGTGGCAAAATGTATGCTCGTTCGATATACTCAAAATTTAAAGCAAAATAATGGTGTTAATCGAAATTTGTTTGTATTTTTTTTAAGTTTTGTACATATATTTAAGAAATAAAAATGTATCATAATATGACAGTCTTTTTATACAAGATTTTCTAATTTCTTGCATGACATTATTTTATTATTGATATTTAAATAAAAAATATCTTGGACATATTGCTTTGAGGCAAAAATTATGGACTCTACAGATTTAAACTTTTAAGTGCCAGACAACAACAGAAATTAAGATTAATTTGTGTTGTTGTTGATTTGGTTTTAAATTTCCCTTGGGCGAAAATAATCTTTTTTTTTTTTTGTAAGATTTTTGAAAACGTTTTTGTAAGGCGTGGCAGTACAAACTTTATGCCTGTATTCTCAGCTGGCAGACATCAGTACATGTTCTAATTTATTTCCACAAGACCCCGAGAAATTAAAAGTAGTGAAAGAGAATAACCAAAGGTTTCGAATATATCTAAAGCGTCAGACGGTTTGTTGAACAAACTATAGTAGGGCCACACAGCAGTCTTCACTGTGGCACGAATAGGCACGTCCGGGGAAGTACTGCGACCTCACAGAAGACCGGCGTGAAGGGGAAGCGTTACACTTCTGCGTTTCATCTGGCGAGTGAGGTAACCGGGGTCCACTTTATGAAAAGCATCGCATCTGCAACCTGTCAATGAGTGGCGGTAATGTCTTAAACATCAATTGAACCGCCAGCTCACTAGCCACTTTCTATCATTAAAAAAAAGTCAAGAATAGAATTTTCGTAAAGACAGACTTGAATAATATAATTTTAAAAAAAAAAAACCGACTTCAAACAGAAAACTAAAAAAACATTGTCAACGCCTATAACATTTGAGGATTGCCCTCGATTTCTCTGGGATGCCATCAGATCTGGGTTTCCTTATCATGGGATATCCCCTTGGGATATCTCCTTTCCAACAAAAAAAGAGTCATCAAAGTCGGTTCATAAATGACGAAGTTATCCCCGAACACACATAAAAAAATAAAAATATATACGGTCGAATTGAGAAACCTCCTCCTTTTTTGAAGTCGGTTAAAAATGGTTTGTTGCAAATAACATGAACAATAATAGCATTGATAAGTTTGGAGCTAAGCGTAGAGCCATTGTATTGAATAGTTTGTCTGGATTGACCAATAAATTGATAAGGGTCTTAGCACTCCTTACTGATGTGGAGTCCTTTCGGATCAGCGTGCTATCTCTACTTAACGAAGATTCTAAAACAAAAATGTGTGGATTCGCAGAACGGCATAATGTTCATTCTTCCATTCATGATAATGATATCTTGATAGAATTTGCGCTTGGAGTGCGGGTCTAGCAATAAATTGTGGATTACCAGCTAGTGCTCTCAACTGAAATCTTCGAGACCGTTTCTTGTTAGGTGAACGGTGAATGGTGAACGATGAATGGTGCCGAGCGAGAGACTTTTTGGAGAATCTTTAAGAATGCTGAGCACGGGATTGGGATTGGGATTTGAGAAGCAGTAGATTTAACTATAATTATATAGCTTCATTTAAGAAATAATTTTTTTGCGCGCCAGAGTAGGAGTACGGTGGGAAACCGTGCCTTGCACTGACACCATTTGTCGAAGTATACAAACTAACTTCGCGGGTAGTTTCATTGAATGATGTACCGCGGTTGTGAATTGTCAATGGAAGTGCTTCTCGGTAGCCATCTGGTTCGGAAAAGAGATGACGTAATTAGTTTTCACCAAAACACCGAATAAACACTTAGAAATCACGACGCACGTATGTAGTAATATTCTCAACGTTCCTTGTCCTTTCATCCACACGAACTTTTGCTTTCTCTGGGAATAACCTGAAACGCACGTTATAGCAGTTGCATAGGCGATGAGGCGATTAATCCAGCAATTGTGCTCGTGCAATTATTTGCTGTCAAGCTATCTTATTTCGCATATAAAAGTTGTCGAAACTCGAACAAGTGACAACTCGTCGAAGTTTGGAATACGTGACAATTTGTATATTAAAGTGAATTTCCGAATACAGTTTACTGATATATTCCATGAATCCGATTTTGATATCAAAGCGGTGTGTACGTGCGATTTAAATTAATATATTGCTACTGCTCCCCCACCTGTATGACTAATAGCGTACTCATGTTTTGCATTAATGTTGCTGCCGTTAAGGTCGATGGAATAGAAGCTAATGAGGTTTTTTATAACGGCAAGCAAAGATGTGCAATGAATTTTATTCGTTCTTCAAACAGATCGTAGCAATAAACAATACAATGAGCCCTATCTTAATACCTTTAGATTACTACTTATTAGTAAAACTATTTTATATACTCCTTTGGTTATATTTATAATTATGTAAATTAAAATAAAATAACATATGAAAAAATAAAATTAATTTTATCATAAGCTAAGTGCAACATTATATGACAGGTATCTAATAAAAGTTTTGAACTAGATCACGCATAGGTCACATCTAGATTCATAAGTCATTTAAACACGATATTCTTAAAAAAACCACCAGTGCAATCCAAAGAATTTTATGTCTATATTTTAATAAATATCTTATTAATATTGATTTTCATTTTACTTTCCTTACATTTGCTGTCATAATTAATACGTAATGGATTAAGGGATGTCTAACGCGATGCCTATAACGAGAATTCGAATTAACTGATTAGTGATTCATAAGACAATACTTTAAAACTTACTCCAACTATGCTGAACACAGAGATCCAGCATATCTCGCAATTAATTGTTATGCTGACAAAGTTCTTTGTGATAAAAATTACGAGTCATTATTACAGTATAATTTATGAGTCGTTAGGATACTTTTAATTTTTAGGGCTACTTTGAACTTAATATTAAATTATAATATTTATGAGTCTATTTATTTATTATGTCTAATAGTAGTTGTTTCATTAAATATATTGTATTTTTTTATATATTGTTATTACATGAAACATGAATTAATGTTTCTGCTGAAAGTACATCTAATTAAGAGGCAAACACAACAAAACAAAAATGTTTAATTAATGAGCAATTTTACGTTACATTACAAAAACCGAAAATAGATATATCACTTAATTAATATATCACTATCATATATCACTATAATCACTACATGGTAAAGAATTAAGTCGTCCCACTGTCTGTCAGTCCCTATGTATGCATAAATCTTTAAATGTAAACCGAGCAAAGACGTTGCTCGTATAAGAAAACGGCTCGCACCATTCCCGGAGTTCTGTCGATCATTATACGACATCGACTACGACAATTACTTGTACATAACGACGGTATGGATCAAATATCCGGGCAGCTTACAAAAGATTTGGCCGAGTATCGTTAATTTGCTACTAAGAATTGACGAGTTCCGTTTTTTTTTTTAATGCGAAAAGTTGCCAAACGAGCAGACGGGTTACCTGATGTTAAGTGAATACCGCCGCCCATTGACATCTGCTACACCCGAGGGATACAGATGCGTTGACAACCTTTTGAAAATTGGGCTCCGGCTACCTCACTAACCAGACGAAACGCGAAAGTATTTGTCATACTTCCACTTTAGGCTGGTCTTCTGTGCGGTCGTGGTACTTACCCGGACGGGCCTGCCCGTTCGTGCAACAGCCGAGGCTGCTGCGTGGTCCTACCACCGTAA